AATGATTCGAACGACCACCTCTTTGACCACGTCCTCTGCCACGCCAATTTTGTTGGCTCGAATGTCCTCTTTCGAAGTTGCTACCTCTACCACTTCGACCATTGTCACGACCTCCACGTCCACGTCCTCTTCCTCGAAAGTTGTGAGAAAAGAGTACCTTTTCGTCTTTGTTCGATTCCTTGGTTTGGTTTGCTTCTTCGTCTGCTTCTTATTTCTTTTTCATCTTTCGTTGTTCATGTGCTTCGAGCGAACCAGTGAGCTCTTCGATTGAGAGCGTCGAAAGGTCCTTCGACTCTTCTATTGCACACACAATATTTTCAAACTTGTCTGTTAAAGATCTCAATATCTTTTCAACAACTCTTGCATCAGCTACTGTCTCTCCATTTCTGGTGAGTTGATTCACCACCTTTTACACACGTGTGATGTAATCAGATATACAATTTCTGTATCCTTCATCTGTATCCTCTCCAATTCGCCACGAAGAGTTTGGAGTCGAACTTGCTTCACTCGACCTATTCCTTTGAACACTTTTTCTAACGTGTCCCACGCTTGTTTCGATGTAGTCGAACCAGCAATCTTCTTGAAGCCTGATTAATCTACAGCCCTGAACAACATGTATAATGTTGTTTTGTCCTTCGCTCGTGTCTCTTTCAACGCCTTCGTTTGAGCTTCTGTAAATCCCCTAACTTCTGTTGGTTCTTCAAACCCATCATGGGTCACCTCCCACGCGTCTAGAGATCCAAGAAGAGCTTTCATTTGGATACTCCAGTTTTCATAATTTGACTTCGTTAGCCGTGGTAACGGCATTTGATTCATCATGTTTGCCATGAGCTCTGATGCCAAATTGTTAGATTCGAATCAGACTTCTGTATAAAATTTTGTATATTGCTCTTATCAAATAAATTACACACTTGGTCTTTTATAGACCCAAACAACTTTTACAATTCTAAAACAAAAACATAAACATAACTGCTACTAATAACTATCATAACTTATCAAACTCTTGTCCTTCCTACTACCATATTTAATGTAAAGCTAACACATTTAATGTTTATTCAATAAAATACGTTCAAAGAATGAGAACATTGAGCAAACTATAATTATGGGTTATCTAAATATTACAATAGTTTCCATTGATGCATGAGTCTGTATGAGATAACTCATAGGAAACATGCCAACGTCATATGATCCCTAATTCTTGGTCTGACATGATTGAACTACCAGATCTCCACAGTCGGGCATACACGTGAACAAAATATTATTGAATGCGCACAAGGAAACGACACCCCAGACTCGGGTAGAAAGGAAGCGAAGTCTCATAAAAAGACACCTTTGGTCAGAATTTACATTTGATTCCTCGCACGTCTCATCGATCTGTAAGGAGACAATTAGGTTAATAAAGTGAACCAAACTCCATCTGTCAGGGTCGGAGTGGCGATCCTCTTAAGGAATCTCATCTTTGTTTGACCATACACTTGGACCAAGTAGAACTCGAGCATGCTCCAGAAGACAAACTCCCATGTCTCCTATAAGCATACCGCCAGTCACACCTCGAAGGATCATGGCGAGTATCCACACCCAAGTAAGAGGGAGCGGGGATGTTACCACTCTGTATGTCAGAAGGTATCCTACTGAGCTATTTGAAAAGACATAGTGACTTCAGAATATCCGCGGTCGTTAGCAAGCTACATCCTCTACAAAGCTAGTCATCCCGTGGTGCCCATAAATTACGAAGACCTAGAGGCATCCAAGGTGGGACATCACCCCGTCGGGCAGACCAAGATAAGGTCGTCTACAATGAAACCTAACAAACAAAGAAGATATTATGGAATAAAAAAGGAGAAAATTGAATCCTCATAACTCATTCTGTTAGTTATATACTCTTTAAATGTAGTTCCAAAATTTCTTCAATTGATATTCTAATTGTTAAATACTGCAAACTCGAAGAAGTGTTGTGAGTTTCTTGTAGGATGGCGTGGAACTAGCCAATCCATGAGCGTAGGTGGTGGAACCCATATGTGTCCACTATGAACAGGACAACCTTGGGTGGAGGAATGAGAACCTTACCTTTGGCCATGGACGATTCCCACTGATGTGGACTTAGCACAATAATTCTTCATAATCAGGGCGAGTAACAACAAAACTCCGATTTAGACTATATAGTTCAAATTAAAGCAGAGTTCGAAGAGCACATCAGGAACCTCGACTCAATGAGGCACCTCTTTTCCTCCTAAAGACAAACTGTAAGGATTCTTACATCCAAAGCAGACAACACTTTGAGACTATCACGACATAGACTCGCAGCCCACTGGTGAACACCAACAATTCCCCTGAAGCAAACAAATCTAAATTACGTATGAGGCAAAAAAACTTGGAATTGTATGGAAAACATGCAAGTCCCAATGTTGCAACAACTTATAATCGACTAAAAGCGTAATACAATAATAACATGAAGCCGAATTCATATTCAAGACTCAAATTCAAATCAAGCCATGACTTACTGAGGTAAAAACATATTATATAAATACTTACATTACATAAAAGGCACATTAGCCTAAAAAATATTACAGGAACTTAAAAAAACAATAAAAAGAAAAGAGAAGCGGTTAATTTGTAGCACCTGAAGCTAAAGTGACTGAATTACCCCCAGATCCCCCTTTTTGAGCAACCTTAAAAGGGTATAAATAACACTTCAACATGAATGGTGGCTCCAGGACAAATCATATGTGAGTGAAAATTCACCATTAGATGTTTTGTATGATGTCAAAACTAGGAAAACTTAGCATTTTTGTATATTGGATGGTATATCTGTATCGTTTAGTACACCTTTGCATTAGAGGTCTTAGGAAGCATTCAAAACAAGTGCAAATTTGGCCAAAAACATGAAAAATCATTTTCTACACAAAAATTAAAGCATGTGTCGGCACATCCACTTTTCAGGTCGACACATATATTGTAGTTTTAAAGGCTATATCTTATGTCTTGTATAGGTCAGCACATAATCCATTTCAGGTCGGTCATGATTAAAAATAACAGTATGTGCCGACACATACGATTTTCAAGCCAATACATGTGTTGCATTATTAAAGCCTGTAGCTTCTATTTCTCATGTGTCGACACATGGCTTGTTTCAGGTCAGCACATGCGTCAATTTTTGACATCATGTATCGGCACATAACTCGTATGTGCAGGCACATCCTAATTGTTTGGTCAATTTTTTTAAACTATTTTTAAAATCCAAAGTTACCCTCTTTGCCACCATATTTCCTCAACTAAAAATACATCATACACACATCATTTCAACTTGATGAAACTATAAACACTTACTGTAGCGATAAAAAAAGGTAGCAGGGTAAATTTGAGATCGAGCTATTAATTAACTCAAGTCGCAAAAGAAAGATTCGCCACCGCACTTTATTATTTCCAAGGGAAAAGGGAAAAGAGCGAAATAAAACCCTTAAATGTGCAATGTAAAATGATACTTAAAAGTAATGAAAATACAATACATTTTTTTGAAAGAGATCTAGAGTTTGGGGGTTGGTTATACAATGAGAAGGTATTAGCACCCAATGCATCTGTGGTACTCCGCAGGGACCTTTTTGAAATATTTGTTTTTTGGTTAAAAATTGTTTGTTTGATTAAAATGGTTTGTTTGGTTAAAATGGGTGTGGACGAGATTTTGAAGATACGGTGACCTAATGTCGAAGTTTTGAATTAAAAGGTATGAGTTTTTAAAATTCAGTTTTTTAAGAAAATTAACTTAAGTTTAACAAAATAGTAAAACAAAAATGAATGAAGGGGTTCTCTCAATCGTAACAAACATATTTGATGACATGAAGTCAACAAAGTTAAAACATTTCCCTTGGAATTTAGACGAACGAAAGATACGAAAATTAAATGACCGAGAATAAAGTTAATTAAAATGACAACTGAATAATTAAATAAATAACGAAAATTAAATTATACCAGCATGCATTTTTGAACAATTAAAAAAATTACAAAAATTAAATAAAAGATTAGTTTATAAGCATGTATTTAAATAAACAAAATTTAAATAAAAGATTATTTATTAGCATGTATTTTGTATTTTATAATGGCAAAAAATAATTAAAAATAAATTAAAACTAATATCTTGTTATCAAATATTTAATAGAATTGGAAAAAAGGCTAAAAAGAACAAAAAAAACGGGAAAAAATGCCCCAGCAGGGGTTGAACTCGGGTCCCCTTGGTTATTAGTGGTATGCTTTGCCAACTAAGCTATGTTTTTTATCTGTTATTACTATGTTTTTATTAATATAAGGAAATATTGATAGTGATATTGGACCAACAGGCCCATTGGGCCGACCCGGTTTGAAATTGAACAAAGAAATTTTGGGAAAACCCTAGACAATTAGGCACCGTATTATTGCTGTTTTGTTACATGGGGAAGGAAAACGAGTTAAATATTATTACTGTTAATTCCAACAAAAACAATTAAAAATAAAAAAGTTGAAACCAAAAAGCAATCCTCTCCTCTCTCATCCGTAGCACCATTTTCCTCTTTTCCTCTCTCAAGCACAACCGGTACCCTAGCATAAGTACCTACCAAGAACTTCGCTTCATCCTTAATCACCTCTTTCATCTTCTTTCCCGTCTCTTCCCTTGGGTTGGGTGCTCCCATATCGACTCTAAGGGAGGCGCTTGGTGGTGTTAGGGGTCTAGGATAAGGAAGATTTGGGGGAAAATGTTGGTTCCTGTTGTTGTTGTTGAATTGGGTGAGTTTGAGTTTATTGGTGAATACAGATTGGAAAGATGAGTTACTGGAACAAGTTTGTGGAGACATTTTTTGGTTTGTTAATGTGATGTTTTCTTGTTGTGCAGTAAGAGAATCTGAGCGAAGTTGGTCGACGGTGAAAGTTTAATGTTGAGCGTTGAAGCGGTTTGCTGATGGGGAGAGCGACAGAGAAAGAACTGAGATCTGCGACGACAGGGAAATGGAGGCTGGTGTTGTTTAAAGAAGATGGAGGAAGTCGAAGGTTGGAGAGAAAGCTGGGTTGATGAGGTAGTTGAATGGAAGTTGGACGAAGAAGATTGGCACGGTTTGAGTGTTCACAGAGGGGTATGCGTGAGATGGAAGAGTGGGTACCAAAGTGAGGTTCTGGTTGTGATATTGGGAACATCAGAGGGTGTATTTGATGCTCAGGGAGGAAGAAGATCGATGGTTTGTTGAAGATGGTGATGAGAGCGAGTGGAGGAAATTCAGTGGAGAGAGGCGCGATTTCTCTAATTTCAAATCTCTTTTTCTTTTTGTGTCATTTGCAGGTGGATGTGAGTGTTGTTTAGGCTTGTGGTGTCGGTGTGCTTGCGGAGAATGGATGATGAGCAGGTTGAGGGATTTACATGGAGCTGTCTGGCTTTGAATCCCGCGGAGAAGTGGATGGAAACTAGAGGGTGGAACAAATATTTGAGGTCTAGAAAATTGGAGATAAGGTGCAGGGCGAGTTATCAGCAACTCTTTTCCATTGGGGCAGTATTGGGTTCGTCGGAATAATGGAAAAGATAAGATTTTGCAGTGAGGGAGAATCAAACAGTGTGATTCTAAAAATCTGGGTCGCATTGATTTTTCTGGAAAATTAGTAAAAAAAGAGTAAGATATTTTCTCCGGCGAGCTAGTGTAGATGTGAATTCACCAGGAATTCAGAAAAGAGTTCACCATGCCGACGAAAGTTGAAATGGAGAGGAAACAATGAAAAAAATGGAGGAAAAAAATTGAAGCAAGTAGAGAGAGAAGGGACATAAAGAGGTAAGTTTAAGTGTTTTTAGAGTTCTTTCTGTGTAATTTTGTCGGTATCGTTGTTTCGGTAGAATGTTAAGCTGTTATTATTGTTGTTGCTGGTTATGTCGAACCAGTTACACGGTGTTTGGTCGCGTTTGTTCCATGAGAAGAGGGAAGACTCAGGATCTTATAAGGAGAGCTTGAATTGGTACAGGTAGAGACCTTCTTGGTTGAGAGAGGAAACTCGTTGAAGAAGAATGAAAGGGAGGAAGAGAAACAAAAGAGACATTGTTGTTTTTTTGGAACTTGGAAGATGAAATAGAAAACAATGTTGTTGTGTTTTTGTTAATGGTTTTTTTTTGTTTCTTATTTTGTTTGGCCCTACTAAAATAATGGTAGTGATGGATGATACTCTTCTCCGTGTTCTTTCAGTATAAAAGGCTTGTGAGATAATTTGATTTAAACTCATATTTTTACTTTTTGTTAGATTAATGAACAAACGCAAGTTATGAAACAATCAACAAGCTATACAACAACAATAGGTTATGTAACAACAACAAGTTAGTTAATGAATATGCACAAAATAATCTAAATTTTCGGGCCAAAGGGTGGAAGAAACATTACCTATTGGAGTCTCCGATGGAGCTTCACAAACAGTAAATTCTCCCTCCCTCTTTTGTTGATGCTCCAACTTCTTTTACTCTGATTATTGCTGTTAAAACTTGAACAAACTTCCTATCTTTTCTGTTTTCCCTCTCCTTGGTTTTTCTTGTGTATTTTTTCTGTCCATAAAGATGGCTTTTATAGTGAAATAACAAGGCATTTAGGGGGGACAACAATAGGATATTTGAATTGTTTTGATGCCTTCTTCATGCAGTTTTTCTTTAGCCATTTTGATGCATTTTTTGGGTTGTTGATGCAGGGCAGTAGGCTGTATAGACTGGTTCAATAGTTTTCTGGCAGCATTTAGACCATTGCAGGCTGCTGTTTTTTGGAATGGTTTGTAGCATTTTTTGGCACCATTTGGGACTGTTTTGCTGCTATTTTGGACAGCAAAATACCACAAAAATTGGACTTTTATTTGTAATTGTAAACATTTGAACCTTTATAAACTTTTAATCTTGATATTTATCTTGATGAAATTCAAAATATTCCGTTTGAATTTGGAAAAGAATTGATTGATATTTGAATGAATTTTTGAATGATGAATAAACAATAATGCAAGTCTTAAGACTTCAATCTTGCATCTTGTATTAGAGATCCAAATGAATTTCATGAATTGATCTTGTAATGAAGTTGTAACCATCATGAATGATTATTTGAATCAAGTTTCTTTTTCCAATATCTCCTTGAATAAATGCCTCGTGTGAATCCAAATGGCCGTGGTGTGAATCCATCAAAGTAATCACACAAAAATAATCTTGCATAAATATTAATGAGATGAACAATTATTTTTTAATGAGCCCCTTTGACAACCTCTATTTAATTAACACTTGAATTCACATGATGAAAATTCCAAGTATTCCGAATAAATTATTCCAAAACAATATTGAATTTAATCACCCCACTCTAACGAAATTCACCCCGCGTCATGTAAGTATAAGAAATCAAACCATGCTTAAAGGCTTCGAATGATCACAAGAAAAGGGATTTGAGGCGAAATGTTATCGCGTTGAGAAATTGGCACAGTGAATTGAAATTAGAGATCCAGAAACTCTTAAATCATGACAGACGTCCCATAAAGGCTTTTCATGAATTTCTAAACACAATTCGTTTTCAACTCTTAAAGAAAACTTGCATATGACTTTTGGTAGAAGTGTTTTGGATTTACTCGCATAACCTGTTCTTTTCTTGTATTTCAAGGCAAGACGAAACACACGTAAACTAGTGATCATTGAACCTTGACTGTTTCTTTTTTTGATGAAATTCGGAGATGCTTGAGGCCACTTGTTGAATAGAGCGTGGAAATAAACACACAGTTCTCTTGATGAATCAGTCTTCAAGAATCAATGATCATATATACTTTTGTCTTGAGAGACTCAAAACCCTAATTGAGGCGTGACGCCTAATGCTCTTGATTCAGACCTGTTTCTGCACATGAAATCAAAGAAACAAAAAACATACACTTCGTGCTTGATTAGAAGTTAGTGATGCATAAGATAAAATGTTCATAACACTCGATAATCTCTATACAGTCAATGCTCGAAGGTGAAACGTTCGAAACCGACCATATTTCGTGGCCTTGATGTATATAACAAAAATGAAAATGAAGATGGGATCTTAGGTCAAAAATTGGGGTATGACACCTGCCCCTATTTAAGTTTCTTCTATCCGGAGATATGAAGATTGAAATATTCGTCTCGACGAGATTGAAGGGACTTAAATACAGAATACGTAATTTTTGGCCCTAAGGTACCGCCATTGTTTATGATATGATATGAATGTAATATTTGAATCTTATGGGGAATGATGCCACATGAGAAAAACTAATGCTGGAGAAACCAAGCACATGATAAAATAATCCACAGGGGAAGAAGTTATAACTCTACTATAGAAACATAGTCACCGACTTCGAATGAGAGACTCTTATCGGAGAATAACTTCGAGAGAAAACAATTTTCTGACTTTAACAAAGAACACGCCTTGCATAGTCCGCGAAAAATAGATGGCTATTAACCCAAGATGATGGTGAGTTTATAACTCAGGGTCAAAGGAAGACAAAATATATACCAACTTTATTGATAGTGAACTACTGGTTTTTGCTGAAGGTAGAGATTTCATAACAAACTTCTCTGCGAGACTTTTCCAGAGAGATACCATTTACTACTGAAATAACATATTATTGTGGATACACAAGATTCTCAAATAAATAGGCCACCACTTGTTGTCTTCAAAGGATATTAATAAACACACAAGCTTCTCAAATAAAGAGGTCGTCACTTGATGTCTTCAAAGGATATTAATAAACACACAAGCTGCTCAAAGAAAGAGGCCGCCACTTGCTGTCTTCAAAGGATAATAACACACAAGTTGCTCATGAAGATACCACCTGTTGTACCCCAAAATTTTCTCTCTCATTTATCAAGTAATCTCTCACAAGATCTCCTTCGGTTCAATACTGCATTAGGTTTGATCATCTCAAGACACCTACTTAAGCACTGATGACCAAAATTAGGGTTTGAGATTGCAGAAGGATAATTGAACTTTCAATGCTTCATATGAATTTCATGGATCATTATGGACCCCCAAGATTACTCATGTCAAGTTTCAAGCCTTGGATCACACTTTTGCTCAGTCAATTGAGCAGTTGACCTAAAAATCAGTTGTATTGAGGAAAAAGTCAACTATGGCCAATTTACAGTCAAACTTCATAATTTTTGATCCACATCAATATTATAAACTCATATGTATCATTTTATCAAGTTTGGATCATAATTTCTCAAGAAATTTGATCAAATCATCAAAAGGGCAAAATGGTTAAAATTAGGGTTTTGATTGAGAAAGGGCAATTTCTAATTTTTGACCTAGAAAATGCTCAATTGGTTTGAAGCATGGTTTCAAGAGTTCAATTGCATCTTTTTTACCTAATGGCGTGACCTAAAACATTGCTCAAGATCAATTGGATTGATAGTGAATTCTCAGTCAACTGATCAAAAGACAACTGTACACTGAAAAGTCAAACTTTGACTTTTTGGTCAAAATCCAATGTCAAAGATCACAATTCATCAAAAAATATCAAAATATGAAACGTATTCATCAAGAAATCAAAAAGTCAAGATTTCATTTTGAAAAGTAGAAGTTTTCTAACTTTGAAAATTTTCTAAGTGTTTAAAACTTCATGTTTTTTCACAACTTTGAGTAAATTTTTAACCATGATGCAAGAGGATTCAAAAGAAACTTTCCACATGAAAGTTGTATATCTCCATGATATATACAAAATTTATTTACACAACTTCTTCTAAAAATTCTTGGATCTCAAGTTATTAATTCATAAAGTCATGGTCTTGAAATTGAACACTTAGTGAAATTTTGCCCTAGTTTTGGTCAGGATTTTGACCTAACTTCATTGCACTTTTTCTATAGTTCCAAAGGGAATTTTCAAAAGTGATTCAAAGAGGGGTTATAGAGAAAATTACAAGCTTTCCAAAATGTCCAAGAACTCCTTGAGATCATTTGTGAGCAAGGAGAATCGAAGAGATGAAGTGAGGGTTTTCAAACTTAAATTACAAGCCAAGCCTATGCTGCATAATCTTTGCTTTTCAGGCCTCAAACTTGTTTTTCACTCATAATTAAATGTTTACATAGCTGATAGAGCTTTAATCCAAGCACTTGAGCCTTTATCCAAGTTACATTTCCATTTATAGCACAAAGTTGCCATTTCCATTTTGATAAAGCACTACTTTTGCAATTGTCAACTTCTTGAGCTTTGCACTTGTTCTTTCTGCACACACAACCCCTATATACCAAAAGCAATGTTTCTAAAGCCTCTTTGAGCTCAGAACATGCTTGTACAACACTTTGCGTTTTGTCCTCTCACTTTTCTTCAAAAGCAAGTCATAGAGCCAAAAGGCTAGAACTCAGAAACCTTAAGTGCATTTGATCTCTAACATTTTCCATACATATATACAAGTCTATTTCAATATAAGACACGAATGCTAAGACCCCAACACACTCCCAAGCACTCTGCAACTCAGAATCTGCCTTAACTTGACAATTTTGAACCTCACATAGCCATATCCAAATCCACTCGTGCGTGTTGAGTTTTAACCATCCAA